GCCCCGCCCGCCCACGGCGCCCCCCCCCCGGGGGGCGATCTCCAGCCCCCGCAGGGAGGCCAGCATCCGCTGGCGCCGGTCCGGCCTCCGCACCAGGTTGATGAGGAAAATCTAGGGAGGGAGCGGAGAGTCCTGCCAAGGGGGAGCAAGGCAGCCCGGGGTGGACAAGGGGTGCCGGGGACAACCATGCTGCCATGCTCGGTGGGGAGATGCTCAGCAGCAGGACACCTGGCCGAGGAGCAGGAGGAGGGATGGATGCAGACGCAGATGCTGGGGGGGACGTGGGGGTCCCTCGGGCACTGACCTCGTCGAAGCCCATCTTGGTGAGCGGCTTGGGTGGGAGGGAAATGTGGCTGGAGCGCTGCATCGGGGGGCCGTCCACTGCAGGGAGACAGGACATGGAGCTGGAGAGGGCCGCAGCCACGGCCTCCACACAGCCAGGAAGACCCACGCCAGCCAGGAGCGCCCCTGAGCCGGCAGAGCCAGGGACCCCACGCGGCGTGGGCAGACAGCAGGGCTGCTGCGGTGCCATGGGGACAAACCCCAGCTCGGGGCAAGGGGACATCCCCAGGAATTCCCTCCCCCACTGGCACTCACCCATGGCTTCCAGCGTGAGATGCACAAAGTTGACGCGCTCGTCCTCCAGGGTCTGGTGGGCCTTCACGGGGACGTTGATGTAGCCGAAGCGCTGCTGGTTGCACACGTGGGCCTCCACGCCTGTCGGACAGCCGGGGCTCCCAGCCCCCCTGCCCAGCCAGTGCCACTGCCCTCCCCGGGACACCGGCCCCTCACCAGCAGCCTGGCACGAGTAGGCGAAGACGATGATATCATCAAAGGACCACGTGTAGTTGGGGTGGGGAGGGTAGAAGGCCAGCTGGGACGTTTCCTCCTTTCGCAGGTCAATCAGGAACGTGGCATAAACCATGGGGACAGCGAAGCAGCCTACGCGCTGCCGGTTCTTCGTGGGGAAGTAGTCGGCTGTGCGGCGGTAGTAGCCCTGCGAGACACACCAGCGTGGTGCCTTGACCATCCCATGGGCTGCTTCTGCACGCGGCAGCAAGAGGAGCTGCAGAGATGTCGTTCCCGAGGACACGGAGCAGCACGGGGCCGGGACAAACACCAGCAGGGCTCTCTGGGCCAGCAGCAGCCCCGCACAGAGCCCGGCGCCCATGTCGTACCTGGGGTGTTATCCCGCACCAGAAGTTGGAGTAGTAGGTCTGGGAGTCCAGCATGGGGGCGACCACCGACTTGTTCTGTGCCATGAGGAACTTGAGGGTCTGGTTGTTGGTCAGGATGCTGTCCGTGTCCACAAACTGGGGGCAGGACACACATGCTGGAGCTCCAGATATGCCACCCCCAGCCACAGCTCCCACCTCCTACACGATGCATTTGCCCTGGAGCTGGGAGGGCCCAGATGGCTCTGGATGGGGGGTGTCTGGGTCTGCTCGCCCCATTCCCAGTTTCCTCACCAGGATGTAATCAGCCCGCTGCTCCCGGGCGAAGGTCAGAGCCTCCTGCTTGAGCCGCATGAGGTTTTCGTAGCGTTGGTCGCTCCAGTGCTTGGGCCCGAGCTCGTCAGGGTAGGAGCTGCGCCGGGCAAAGCAGGGGTTAACGGCGGTCGCTGGGAACGGCTGAACTCGGCGCGTCCCGCATGCCGGCTGGCTGAGTCAGCCTGCGCAGCATCTGCTCCGCTGCGGGCTGCTCCTGGCAGCGGCCACGCTCGGGAGAGGAGGGATTGAGTGGGTGCCCTGTCCCGGCCCCCTGCCCGTCCCCACGGGCGGTGTGGGCTCCTGGGCAGGGAGATGGGGGGAGACACGAGCCCAGGGCGCTTTTATGCTGGGTTGGCTTCCCCGGCAAACGCATTCCAGGCGGAGGGGCCGGTGGAAACAAGCCCTCGCTGTCTGTGCGTAGGGCTGGGGCCTCCTGCCCCGGCACGCGATCCGTACGGCGCCGGTGGCTCCGGGGAGCACCGTGCCGGTGGAACAGACCCCGCCATGCCAAGGGCAAAGCGATTTCCAACGCCAGGGCACCCGTGCCTGGAGCCTGGCCTAA